TACAGAGAGCAGAGCTGATGAAAAGAAAGAAAGAGCACATTTTCTAATAGGGATAAGAGGGCTTTTTTCTTGTTATTGGTGTTTAGGTCCAGAAAATTAGGATATTTAAGGTTGAAAAGAATCAATGGTATGTCACTGAGGTATAGTAAATAATGAGAAGTTTGAGAAAATAAATGTGGTTTTATTTACAAGATTCTGGAAGGAGGAATAGTATTTGATGTTTCGTTTTCTAATAAAGAAGTGGTACATTTTTTTGAAGAAGTGTATGTTTTATTTGCCTAATACCAGATAGACTGAGCCTAGAAAACTGGGATTCTAGATGGTTTTGATTCAAAATAGCTCTCCCTGATATTAACCCTAATTCCCATTCTTTCAATTCTACTAATTCTTTTTTCCACTGAATTCTTGCTTACCTCTTATTCCTTAGGCTACCACCCTGTGGCGGTCTTCCCACATCATTCCTGGTCCACTGTCCTCTGAAATCTTTTGCTTTCCACCCCCAAAGCTTGGCTTCTGCCTTCATCTTTGCCTTACACCACTGTCTCTGCCTTGCCACCCTCCTAGAGTTTTCATTTCTTCAAAGCCTCCTTTGAGCCAAGAGTGATGCCAAGGATGGGTCAGAGGCATTGTAGCTACCAGCCAGGCTGGTTCAATCTCAGCTCTGTCCTAGTTGTTTGACTTAGGTGAGACATTTAATCTCAGTGTTACCATCTTGGGATAATAGGATCTCCCATGGAGTTAGTGAGATCACATGTGTGAGGTGCCACTCAAGGATATCCAGTCTTTTCTCTGTTTTAACATCTTTGGTTAAATTGACCTCTTTCTTGAGCCTTCACATAACACATTGATTTCGTTCCTTTTAAAGTCTTAGCAAGTTACTTCTAAATTGCCTTATTTAACAGTTAGGGTCTTCCCCCAGCTACCCTTCAGTGCCATATGCAGAATGACTGTGGGTTTAGCTGTTTAAGTAGATGAGGCCATATCCCTGTGTTTCCAGAGCAGCTTAATTTGGTCTTAATCAGAGTGTGCATCATGCTGACTTGAAATGTCTCATGTCTGCTTTCTGTGTAGGGTTGTGAGCTCCCTGAGAGTAGCTCAGGGCCTGGCTTCATCTGTTCCTTGCCCAAATTTTGATTGACGTGAAATGCCAAAGAATGCTACAGTCGTGGTTAAACCCTCACTCGATGCTAATGTGTGGGGCTTTAGGGTATGGGGCTTGTTTATAAAGCTGTTGTAAATTTGTAAAATAGGACTTGACTACTTTTTCTTTTATTGATGTTAGTGACTATAATCTTATCTTATATTCTTAGATGCTTTCTGGGAATACTATCGGACTGCCATTACAATATTTTTGTTGTGAGATTTGATGTAAGAAAAATGACATGAGGTCTCTAAACAAAATCCATGTTGTGCATGTACTACTTGAATTACAGTGATGTATGGGCAATGGAATATGTTAGCATAACCAGCCTTGTGCCATAGTGTACATTTTAGATGTTCTCTGGTGTCTATATTTTGAAGGCTTGTTTCCCAGTGGCACAGTTGAGGGGTAATGGAGTCTTTATGAAGTAGGGCTTGGTGGGAGATTTTAGGTTGTGGGGTGGGGGGTCTTAGTGAGCTTTCCTGTTGCTAGGACAAAATACCCAACCCCCTCAATTTAAAGGAGGAGAGCTTTAGCTTTGGTTCATGGTTCCAGAAGTTTCTGTCCAGGATTACTGGCTTCGAGGAAGCAACGGCATGGTGGAAGGGAATGAGAAATGAAGACTTCTCAGGGCAGCCAGGAAGCAGAGAGAGAAGGGAGGAGCCAGGGGCAAGAATACACTCTTTCCGGTCACACCACCGGTGACCCACCTCCACCAGGCCCCACCTCCACCAGGCCCCACCTCCTAGCAGCACTTGCAGCCGTTCATGCCTTCTCAGAGTAATCTGCGATAAGTATAGCACGCCCATGACGGAATCACGTGCCAAAAGCCTACCTCTGAATACATGAGGCTTTGCGGGGACTTCTTAGGGCTAAACACAACAGGAGATAATGCCGTGTGGTTGGGCCCCTTCTCTCTCTTCCACATCTGGCCAGGAGTTGAACTTTCTCGTCTCCCACAGGCCCAAAGAGATGGGACCAACTGTTCGTGGAGAGAAACCTCTAAATCATGAGACAAAGTACAACTCTTCTCTTGCTAGGTTGATCAACACAAAGCCAACCTTTGGATGGTGAAAAAAGAAGCCATAACAGTACCTTAAGCGTTCCTTGTATTAGCAAAGTTGTGTTTCCACTGACGTCCTCATGTGAGGTTGTTCTCAGGGCAACCACAGATGTTACTATTCTGACATTATTAATAGATTAAAACTGGACCGTTCATGCTCTGTTCACAGATTCAGAGCCTCAGAAATAACACAACACATTGCCTTCTGCCCTTCAGGAGTAGTGTGAGGAGAAGCGATACATTCTTTATAGGCAACGTGATAGAGTTATTATAGACTGCTAAGTTAAATAGAAAATTAGTGCAGAGTCAGTGGTACTGGGCTCTCAAGAAAGTCAGCACAGAAATAAAGACATCAGAATTGTGGCTGGAGGTGCATCTGAAGAAGGCCAGGCCTCCAGATAAAGATGCACTGACCAGCCCTACCTGCCTCTCTAAGGGACAATAACTTGGTATTATATTGTAATTAGCACCACTTGGTCCAGGAAGTCCAGCCAGGCATAAACCCTTTCTTAGAATGCCTTTGTTCTTTCCATGCAGCCTTGCTATGTGACTAGTTTCCCAATTGGATCTATATTAGCTATATTTGTAATCTTATAGGTTGATTGTACCTGTTGTACCCACTTTCAGGACCTTTCCTGTCTTTCAGGAGCTATCTCTCAATAAACCATTCTTACTCTTAACCTCCATTGTTCTTTGGATTTCATTCTTTGATACTGGGGGGACATGAACTTGGCATATCTGATGCCTGGTGCGTTGGGAGTTATAGTTCTCCTATATTAAAGTGAACAAGTGAAATAGGTGACTCTTGGTACCGAGGGAGGAAAAGTGATTGTGCCAAAGCAGCTGTTCTTAATTGAGACATCAGTTTTAATTTAAAGGACTGTAGGCTTGAGAAAAACTGGATGAGGACACCCAAGTTCCTCCTATGTGTATACTCAATGATTCTAGAAAGGTAGTAGACTTTAGAGCCAAAAATAATTGTATAATTGTCTAGAATTATTTATCTCTCTGTCATAAAAAATAAATGAATAACTCAATGCTCTGTCATCTATTTCTCCTTAACACAGGGATAAAGAAGCCACTATCTATTAGTAGAGCTCAGAGGCATCCATTGTATTTTATTCAACCTGTTTATCAGGATTTTTTTTTTTTTTTGGAAGAATGAGCAAAACCTGCCTTCTGAGGGGAGCCTTGAGACTGGAAGAGTTAACTCCACAGGCTGTGTTTCCTCTTCCTAATAGGAGCTCTTTAGCAATGCTAATCAGTGGTACTGATTTTCTGTTTTGATTTTTTCATGATAATTAAGTGAATGATCTGGGATGCAATCAGGTTTGCACTAGGGGGTTCATGCAAATGAATGGTTTTTTTACATGTAAAATTTTGTTAAATGGAATCATAAGCAAAGTTATTTGAAGATGAAGACTGGGTCGGTGAGGGCAGTTTAATATCCAGCTTAGAGTTTTTAATATATTCAAGATCTCTATTGTTAATGAAGTAAATCAGCAATGTGTTGCCTTTTTTCAATTGAAATAATGCTATTTCTTAACAATTGTATTTTGTTTTCATTTGTACCCCAAAGGTAAAGTTATAATATAGATAGGATGACAGTATAGACGAAAGAAGGAAAGTATATTGAACCTTTTTACTCCTTTAGGAGAGGAATCAAGGGAACCCACACATGGTCCTCGAAACATATAGAAAAAAATAAATAAAATATGGAAAGGGTAGGTGCTGTGTCCTATCAACCGCTTATGCGGGTTGCACAGCAATGCCTTTATTATACAAGCTAAAAAAGTTCACATTTCTGAGTATAAGGAAATGCATTATTGCTACAATTATTTATAGTTGATTAGCATGTTATGAAATGTATTCTCTCTCCACTATATATAACATTTGTATTATTTCTCAGGTTTAATTAGCATATGTAAGTTTATACGCTCATTGCATTTTGATCTAGCAATTCTTTGCACTTTTTGTCATTTTAGTCTCTAACACAGAGTATTCTAGAATTCAGTTGATATCTAATTTAAATTAGTAAAAATGCTTTGGGGTGAAGAGACCAAAGCATTTTATATGAATAAACTCACACACACACATTAATGGGCTGATATTGTCTCTTCCACAAATGCCCCTGCAACTTATCAGTGCTATTTCCGAATGATGATTTTTAAAAGCAAAGAGGAGGCGACCAAATTCTGCCCTTTTCCTGCTCTCCCCGTTCACAGGGCAATGCATACAGTGCAAAGCGTGTAAAGAAACTGGAAGGTCAGCATCACAATTTTTACATTAAAAGAGAATGCACAGCTTCTTTCTTATTCTTGGCAATTTGATTCTCTTGTGGCAATTTCTGGCTTTACAGACTAAACATTTCTAATTGGTAAATGGATGGTTTGATTTGAGATGGTGACTCAGGAAATAAACTCCCAAATTTAGCATAATTGTTTATGAGTAGCTGGCAGATTATTGCCTCCCAGCTTTCTTTTTATTTTGTGAGAACGAATGAAAGAAAGCTAATATATATATATATATATATATATATATATTTCACCTTTCATTGACAAAGAAAAGCTATGGAACAGAGAGATATTTGCTCTGCGTCTTTGTTACAGCCACATATATTAAAGCTTTCTGTTTCTCATGGATGAGGGAAATACTTGCTGAATCTTCTATGTCTTCAGTTGTAAAATAAATGGGGACAACAAAAATCTGTACTTTTGGGGTAAGTTGCTATGAAGATTAAAATTTCACCTTTCATTGACAAAGAAAAGCTATGGAACAGAGAGATATTTGCTCTGCGTCTTTGTTACAGCCACATATATTAAAGCTTTCTGTTTCTCATGGATGAGGGAAATACTTGCTGAATCTTCTATGTCTTCAGTTGTAAAATAAATGGGGACAACAAAAATCTGTACTTTTGGGGTAAGTTGCTATGAAGATTAAATAGTTTACCTAAAACGCTCGGTAGCATATCTAGCACACAGTAATTACATAGCTATTATTAATATCATTGTCATCATTTTTGTGCACTCCTGTTAAACAGAATAATTTCTTTAACATGTTAAACTTCAGATTTATCGACTTCATATCATGAACCTGTGAGAAACAGAAATACTTTGAATTAATCTACAAATCATAGTTTGGCTATTTATGCATTATATGTTGGAGTTGTTTAGTGACTATTGAGATAACATTTTAAAAGATTTTATAACTTATCTTAATAATTTACACTATCTTTAAATTATCCTACAAATCCATAATGTTTTTTCCTTATTCTAAATCATTTTCTTTTGCTTTAACCTTTAACCTTTGTGGAGTCAGAGATAGATCATTTTTCATAATGTACTTAAAATACTTGTCTTTCTACACAATTTTGATTTTGAGGAATTTAATATTTTCTTCATCTGTAATCCTGAATTTGAAAGATAAATTGTCTCCTAAATTTGATTTTTTTTGCTGTTATTGTTATTTACTATTTGGTTTAAGATACTCTTATTTTTCAAACTACAAAGTTATTATTTAACACATTTGATTTTCAAGTGATAAAAACTAATAAACTCATCGCTTCTCGGCCTTTTGGCTAAGATCAAATGTAAAACTAATAAACTCATGTGGGAGAAAATTAGTGTAAGTGCCAGCTCTCACCCAGAAAATAACTTTTTTGATCAAATAATGTGGCCTATTATTGCTAGTTTCAAAACAGGTTAATGCTTATTTTCTTTGTAATTAGTAAATGGATCTAATTTCATGTCCATTTGTGTAATGATTTGATAATATAGGACGGCAATTAAGCTTTTTCTCCTTCATTAAGCTTATTGGTACATTTTAGGCATTCGATGCAGTTACATTCATCGCTGGGATCTTGTACCTTTACGTGATGTAACTTCTTTCTTATTTTTTTTTCCCATTCTCCTGCCTTCCCTTCACCCCCTCCACCCTTCCCTACTTATAAAGACTTTCTTTCCATTTTTTCCTTTCCTTGTATATTTTCTTTTCCCTTCTTTCCTTTCCCCTACCCCTAAGCTTTTCTTTCTTAACAAATCACTAAATTCCAGGAGAAGCAGTGTGTGTAGTTCCCATGCTATTACAACTCCTGCCTGATGCAGTACTTGCCATATGGTAGGAACTCAATACCGGTTTGTGGATGGCTTCACATGAATACCTCAGAGCAACCTCAAACTTGATATCTGAAGTGTGATAAAAAATTATGGTAAATGTTCACATTTAAAAATATATAATGGGGAAAAAAATGAGAACCAAGACCTGTCATGTAAAGGCACAAGATCCCAATGATGAGTGAGTGGGTGAAGGGAGGGCAGAGACAGGGGAAAAAGATGAGAACCAAGACCTGTCATGTAAAGGCACAAGATCCCAATGATGAGTGTAACTGTACTGTACACCTAAAAAGTACCAATAAACTCAATAAGATAAAAAAAAATGGCCCTCAAAGGAGTAAAATATATATATATATATATATATATATTACAGTATAAGATACATTGCCATTAATCACCCTCACAATATTTCCTCTGGCTGCAGTTCTCGCGCCTTTCTGAAGCAGTTCCGGAAGTCCTCCTTCGCAGGTGTCTTTAGTTATGTTGTCCTGCCCGCTTTCATGCCTGAGTTCATTCACAATGTCTTCCTTTCGTAGTCATTTTGACTTTAGGAAAGAGCTAGCAGGTTCACAATGCCGGAGTCTGTGAATAAGAGGATAAGAACACACGGTGATGTTTTTATTTGGCAGAAATTGCCACAAATGTTTGGTCAACGAGAGGTGATCATGAAACAAAGTGACTGTTTGAATTAAAGAGTTAATTACAGTAAAAGGGACATTGCTACTAATCTCCTTCCGGGTACTTGCCCTCACTTTGAACACACTTATCCCATTCTTCTTACCAGTGTCCTTACTATAATAAAAATTTGAAAACATTTAAACACTCACCGTATCTTTCAATCAGTCCTTGTACCTAAGGCGGAACTCAACGCTTTCCCAATCCACGGAGAACTTCTGCGCCTCCCATCTCATGGAAGGGCTGCTCATTTGCCCAGCAGTTAAACCGAACTCTTCTTCTCCTGCGCTGCTGCACTCAGTGGCAAGTCCGAAGAAAGGCTCCCAGAGCCGCTCTGCCCCCTGCCAACCAGTGCTGCTTTCTGCTTTGCCCCGTGACGTTTTCCCTGCTTCCCTTTCTGCTCTCTGCAGCCACCGTGGTCTTCACTCGGTGATCTAGCTGCCCTCCCTCGGATGGTTTCCTCCGATCCTCCCGTGTCCTCCTCCATATCTCCTCTCTGCTGTCGTGAATTGAGTTCCCTAAATGTACCTGACCCTCTCTCCCGGCTTCTCACTTTTTTCTCCATGTATATTTTTTAGAAATCATAGTAGGATAGTTGCTTTTTGTTTTTAATCAGCGGATGGAGAAACCGAAGCGCTACATTTGTTATGACTGCTAAACTGTAGGCAGCTTGGTGGGCAGGGAAAGGGACTAGTTCTACATTTTACATCTGTTTCTTTGTGGTGCCTAGAATCAAGTGGGCATGCAATCAGTTTGAATCAGTTTGTTGCCCGAGGTGGCTCCCTGTAAAATCAAAGGAGCTTCTGTCTCATCGCTTATTCTCTGGACAGATGAGGCCAGATTCCTCTTTAGACCCTCTTCTTCCATAGTGAAATGTGCCTGGTGAGAGAATCTGAAAGTCTGCATTGCCCGGAGTTGTTCTGGTGGATTCCTTTAACATCAGCTGGCGCGGTTGAGAAGGGCTTTTGTTGTGGTGGTAATCGATGATCTGCACATTTCAGCAGTTTACAGAATGGTAGGCGCCCTGTACAACATAAGAAATACCTCTCTTTTCTGGACCATAAAATCCGGTGACCAGCTATGTAAATACATGCCTTGTATTTAGAAATAGCAAATAAGCATATGAAAAAATGTTCTGCATCGCTTGTTATTCGAGAGATGCAGATGAAAGCAACACTGAGATTCTACCTCACCCCAGAAAGAAATCAGTTGATAACAAATGCTGGTGGGGCTGTGGAGAAAGAGGAACCCTGCTCCACTGCTGGTGGGAGAGCAGACTGGGGCAACCACGGTGGAAGTCTGTATGTAGATAGCTCAAAGAACTAGGATTGGAAGTCCCATTTGACCCAGCTATTCCTCTGCTGGGTATCTTCCTAAAAGAATTAAAAGAATCACACCACAGTGATATATGTGCACCCCACCCATGTTCATAGTGGCACAATTCGTGATAGCGAAAACTTGGAAGCAGCCCAACTGCCCATCAACTGGAGACTGGATAAAGAAAAGTGTGTGTGTGTGTGTGTGTGTGTGTGTGTGTGTGTGTGTGTATTAAATAAAATGGAGTACTACTCAGCCATAAAAAACAAGAAATTAGAGACATTTATAGCTAAATGGATGCACATTGAGGTGATACTCTTAAGTGAAATAAATAGGACACACATGTGTAAATACCAAATAGTTTCTCTAGTGTGAGACACTGAAAGTGTAAATAAGGACTAATAGGTATAATAGATAATGTGAAATAGGAAGAAAAGGTGAAAAGAGGTAGGGGAAAAGAAAGAAGGGAGTGGAGTTAATAGGAGAAAAAGAAAAAATGGAAACAAAGTCTTTGTAGATAGGGAGGGGTGGCTGGCTTGAAAGGAGGTCAGGGGAATGGGGAAAAATAAGAACCAATAATGGATTATGTAAAGGTGCAGATTTCCAATGATGAATGTCATTATACTGTATATCTAAAATGTACCAATAAAATTAATTAAAAAATACATGCCTTGTTATTCACGTTTTAACTCTACTGACCACTTGTACGAGTGATTGATTGCTCTTCTGAAAAGAATTCTGTTTGAGTGATTTTAATGCTCCTTTAATTTTTTTTTCTTGTAGGTGGTTCTTCAGGAAAAAATGACTACTTCTTTGAATTCATGCCTGGGCTTTATCTGTCTATTGCTATGCCATTGGATTGGAACAGCATCTTCTCTGAATCTCGAAGACCCTAATGTGTGCAGCCACTGGGAAAGGTAATCCTGACAATAGCCTGAGGAATAATTGTCCATGAGTACTTTTATACATGATTATCATCAATCTGATGTATAAAACTAGAGTCTGAAAAGGTATTGTGAAATTACTTGTCTGCAAAAATCATTAGTTACTTCTAGTAAATTGAATAATGCTACTTACCTTGGTGTAACAGAATATATATTATGTGCAAAAACTATACAACTGATTCTAACACAGATGCAATTGTGAGATCCAGAGAAAACAGTAACAGTTTAATTACAATGAGGCTTCTAAGGCCTAGTCCCTGCTGTGAATCTGCTTGTAGTAGTTTTGCAGAGCTAGATCTATTTTGGGGGACAGCGAAAGAACAGCAGGAGGCAGCATGGAGTAATAAAATAAAGTATTGAAATGTGCGGGCTAAAGCAGTGTGGTGTTGGGCCAGGAATTTAGCTCAGTGGTACCACACCTGCCACGCAAATGCAAGGTCCTGAGTTCAATCCCCGGTACTGCAAAGAAAATAAAGCAGTGTGGTGTAGATGCCTTGAAAAAGGTGACCTTAGTTTAGGAGGAATGAGTAATACTCTATGTAGGTGGCATCCCTGAGATGTTCTTGCAGAACTCAGGCAGATGAATGGTTAGCAATCCTTGGGAGGTGTTCTAGAGATGGAAGGTAGTTTGACATCAGTGCCATGGGAACCAAACACAGACCCAAGTGTAACGTTGGACAAGGATAGGATTCGATACATCGTATGAAGGACGTGTCATGTGAGTGTCTGCACAAGTAGGATGAAAAGGCGAAAGCTGCTGCCATGTGCCGTCCCGCAGACAGGCAGGCTTGTGAACACATGGAGAGGTCCTCATTCATCGAGTCCAGTGAATCCGGCACTGTGTGACTTCTGGCTTTTCTCCATAGTGAAAATGACCATGAGATAAATGTTTTGAGTTGATTTAGGACACCAGGGCAGCTCTGACAGAGCAACTCAAGACACTCATGCAAAAACACTTCCAGAACTGTTCTAGAGAGTAGCAAAAATTATGGGATAAGAGCCTTAAAACTTAGGGGGAGCATTTTTGAGGGCAGTTAATGGCACAGTAACTTTCACTGTGATAAAAAAGAAAAATTAAACATTCACCTTATTTTTCAATCATACCTTGTAGTAGAGGGTAATATGCATTTTTAATACATGTTAGTATGATTACCCCAAACTTGGTCATGTTTTTGTATCATCCTCACCATCATGATTAGCAAATCAGAGTACATATTATAATAACCATTGTCACCCTTTGTTAGGATGCCCAATATCTAGAGGTTCTCATTGCATTTTTTTTTATGAGAGCTTGTCCTTATCTCATTAGAAATATTACAATCAGGATAACAAGAACAGAATTACCTGCTCAGTCAGTGAAGTTATATATTGTTATACATTGATATTATACAACTAAAACATAATGTTTTGTCCTTGGCCTCCAAAAGGGTTATATTCATCATATTATACAAAATGTGTTCAGCCCACGTCTAAGAGTAGCCGAAGTCTTGACAGTTACAACATTACTCAAAAATTCAAATTCAGTGTTTCCTTTAAGACTCAAGGCAAATATTTAGCTCTGAGCCCTTATAAAAATAAAAATAAAAATAAATTATGTACTCTCAAAAACAAAATGGCACAGGATAAACATTACCATTCCAGAATGGACAGATTGGGGGCATATAGAAGAAGTGGACCAAAGCAAGACCAAAAGCCAACATGGCAGACATTAGGGCGTCTGATGTCTGTCCTCTGGCACACGGTGGTGTTATATGAGCACTGAGACCTTGGGCGGTCCTCTCCATAGCCTTTACGGTTGTAGCCACACCACTTCTGTCCTGGGCTGGCTCTGTCTGCTCTGTAGCTTTCCTCAGCACGTACCCCACACTCCTGCCACATCCTCTCCTGGTGTCTCCATGGCAGCTTCCTCCTTACTGCTGGTACCAATTTTCTACATTAATCAGCCTTTCATCAATGCCCACAAGATGTCTGGCACACACCTCTTAAAGAAGGAAAGATATAGTTTATGTTCTGAGAGGTTTTCATTCGTGGTCACTGGGCTCCATTGCTCTTTTCTTTGAGCATGGCAGAAGACAGCTGCTGTCTCACGGCAGCTGGAAAGCAGAGTGGAAAGAGCCAGAAACAAAGAGGGAGAGAGGTGCCAGGGACAATGGCAATGCCCCGTAAGCTACTTCCTCCAACAGGGCCCATCTTCTGATAACGCGTTCAGGAAGCTGTACTGCCGTGATCTAACCACCTTCCGAAAGCCCTACCTCTGAACATGTGAGACTTTGGGGGGCATTTAAAATCTAACCGTAACATATGTCATAAAACGTTAACGTGTATCATGAAAATAGGTGTATAGGATACAGTTTCCTATGTACAATTGGTGGTAGTAACTACTTCATGTAGAATTAGGGGAGGGACCTCCTATTAATTATCTTGGCAAACTGCAACACCTTGCCTACGACATTTCACTAAAGAAGAACGCAGTGAACATTCACGAAAATAATGAAAATAAATCAGTGAAGATGTGAATGAATATCAAGTGTAGAAAAAGGACCCACTGGTATTTCAACCTCTTGGAAGATGTTAACTTTGGGATGGGAGAAACAAATCAAATTTTCGAGATGCTCTAAAATAGCAATCAACAGATTTTGGTAATATATTGACTCTGAGATGTGAAGGAATTTAGATCCTGATGTGTGAAAGAATAGAAATGTCCTGCACATATGAAACAATGAAAGATTTGATTTGAGAGGGAAGAGGGTCAGCGTGGTTTTGCTGTGCTGTATCCTAAAATCAGTGTGAAACATAGGCCTAGAAGTGTTTCGGGAATCTAGGTTTGGGAATGTCCAGATGAGGAGGTGTAACAGATAAACTCTTTGGGATAAGGACTGTAGGAGGAAAAAAATCCAAGTCTCCAAATAGTCTAGCATTCACTTTTAAGTCCAGCTTTTGTTCAGATTCCTTGTTCAGCATTTGGCCACAGCTGTTAGCCAGGACTGCAGTGTTTTATCCACTGCTGATGCTGCCTGCTGTCTGGGCACTGCCTTGCATGTGGCCTGTGGTCAGTCACTGAAGGAGTGAACCCTCCTTCTGAGAGGGAAGGAAGAGACCAAATACAGATGCCTGTGGTGGGAGGGGTGTAGCATGAAGAGAGAGACAGACAAAGAACGTAATAATCTCTAAGCCTAGTATCAGTCCACAGTTATACAAGTGACTGCAGCAAGCCCTAAAATACTCATTAAGGGCTGGGGAAGTGATTTTTTTTTTCTGTGTACTACTAGAAAGGATTGACAGCTAGGATCTTATTGATGAATGTGTACGTTAAATTTTTACTTTAATTCTTACTGAAAGGGTCAAAGAAAGTGGAATTGTTTTGGTAATGGGAAAAGCATAGCAAGATAAATTAAAATGAGTGAATAAAGGTGCACATGATAGGTTCTGCATTATTAAAACCTGAAATGGTTTTGAATTGGAATACGGAAGGGAGAATAATTGGGAACGTGTAATTCTCGGTAGTAGGCTTGAGCAGGGCTCATTGTTTATATTAAAAACCACCTGTGCCTTGTGGTTCAGAGTCAGGGAATCACCTGGAGGTTCGGTGCCCCGTGTGGTGTGTGGAGCTGGGTCATCACCTTGTGACCCAGGCCCTAGCCCAGCTCTACTGAGTGAAAGTCCATTGTAACAAGATCCTGAGGTTTTGCCTTTGTCAAATTTGACAAGCACCAAACATAAATACTTCTATCAATGACTTCTAGATGCATCCTCACCACTATCTGAATACTTATTTTCAAATAAAATTGTTGTCTTGTTTTAAGGCAGCAACTGTAAAAATAAATTGAGTCTAACATGAAATGAAAGAATCTTAAACCGTTAAAAAAATACAAAACAGCCAGGGATTTAGCTCAGTGGTTCCACCACCTGCCTTGTGAGCACAAGGACTGGACTTCGATCCCTGGCAACCCCCAAAAAGAGGTGTAGGTGATTAAAGGAATCCTACACAGTCCTTTTGCAAATGAAAAGTTCTGTGGATTTCCTCCTCCTCATCTCTTCTCTGTGAGTTTCCACTTTTCCACCTAGTGGGGATTCTTCTCAAAAAGGCACAAAAGAAGAGAAACTGCTCTTTGCCGAAACCTTCAATTACTAATGCAGAAGTGGTAGTAATCGAATCAGCAGTCCTAAAGCAAGCAGAGATAAGAAATGATGATTATTATCATAGCTGATTAAAGTAACAAGATAATTTAAGCAGATAAAATGTAATTAACCACTTTGGAATGTGTCCAAGTGATGATGGCTTCTCTCTTCCCTTCCCTGTTCTTTGACCTTAAATTAAATCTTGCTGGGATTTCTCCCGAATAATACTTATTAGGTTAAAATCATGCTGATGATATGTTTTCATTGTGTTTGAGAAGATGAAACAAACAAGAGGAAATAAGAAGGTTCGCATACCAGTGCTGAAAATAGTGCAAAACGGGATCAGTTTCCTTTCTTTTTTTCATTGAGTTTATTGGTACTTTTTAGGTATGCAGTACAGTTACATTTATAACTGGGATCTTGTATCTTTACATGATAGATCTTGGCTCTCATTTTTTCCCCATACCCCTGCCCTCCCTTCACCCCCTCCACCCTTCCCTATTTACAAAGACTTATTTCCATTTTTTTCCTTTTCTCATACTTTTTCTTTTTCCTTATTTCCTTTTCCCTATCCTTTCCACTTCCCCCACACCCTCAGCCCTTTTCTTCCCATTTTACATTGTCAGTTAAACAGTCTGGATCTTATTTACACTTTTAGTTTTTCACAGAGGAACTATTTGGTATTTACACACATGTGTCTTATTTATTTCACTTAAGAGTATATCCTCAATATGCATCCATTTTCCTACGAATGACTCTAGTTTCTCATTCTTTATGGCTGAGTGGTATTCCATTTTACAGAAAAACCACATCTTTATCCAGTCTCCAACTAATGGGCAATGGGGCTATTTCCA